AATAATAGATTTAATCCTCTATATGATGGTAGATATCGAGCAGCTGGTCATTTTAGCGTCAATGTATGGGAATGGTATGGCGTATTGATGGCAGGTTAAATGAGAATGGTATGGTGTATTGATTGCAGGTTTGTTGGGCAAACTTACCTGTAAATTCTAGAAAACATCATGTTTCTCAGTGTAGAACAGTTGTATTCAGAAAATAATTTTATAATAATTGATGGATTCGACCGTTACTTGATGGAAATTCATATTATGTAACAATAAAACACTGAAAACTTTGTTTTCAAACCTCCACAAAATTTATTTTAAATATTATCACTACAACGCAGTAAACAACGGATACAACGAACAAACAATTAATAAAATGTTAAATCAAAAACTACACAAGAAAGCCCTGAAATTAGTATTTCCACCACCAGAAAAAACCCAGTACCTTCTGCTCGATTACATATACAGGCAAAATAACAACAAAAATTGCCAAACACATAAAAAAGAAAGGAATAACACCAGCTTTCCGAACAAATAACAACCTAGGCAAATATATTAAAAATAACAAGAGCCAAAATAGAAAACACTTAAATAGTGGTGTGTACAAACTTCAATGTGGCGACTGCCCAAAAACTTACATCGGTCAAACTGGTAGAAACTTTGATAAACGAATAGCAAAACATAAAAGGGCTTTCAAGAATAGAAAAACAGATTCGACATACGCACTTCACCTTCTAGATCATAATCATTCCTTTAATGACAAATTTAAAATTCACATTCAAAATAAAGGCCTTAAGCTATCTTTGTTAGAATCTATGGAAATCAACAAATTAAAAAACACAGATATAATTCTGAATGACCAACTTGAGACAAACAGTTCTACCCTCCTCAACCTATTTCATTAGAGACTATAAATTTGTAAACCCAAGCTAAAATAGATCACTTGAGAAAGGCAATCAGCCGAAACAGCTATAGTGATAATATTTAAAATAAATTTTGTGGAAGTTTGAAAACAAAGTTTTCAGTGTTTTATTGTTACAAATAATTTTATCCTCCAACAAGATAATTGTCGTGTACACACTGCAAATATAATAAACCAGTGGCTCCAGAATAACAACATCGAAACCTTACTATGGCCCAGCTATAGTCCAGATTTAAACCCAATCGAGAATGTGTGGGGATTATTATAAAACGGTTGTATCGGCGTAATTTTATACCTTAAAATGCTGAAGAGCTGTGACACGGTATACAACAGGTTTGGGAAGAGCTTTCTGGAGAAGACAATTTCATAGTTTCTTTCAGGCAGGTGGACCGACGACTACAAGCTGTTATCACTGCTGATGGAGATATTACAAAGTTTACAAATACCAATATGGCTTACCGTATGGATTTGTAGCTCTTCTTCTCGTGATATTTCTTAATGCTTATTTGATAATATTTTCTAGGACTTCTTCTTTTATTTCTAGTGGATTCCTGATCGTTGGGATGTTGTTGCTTCCAATGCTCATAAGTCTTTTGTAGTTTGACCACTTTGTTTTCCTCATTGTCCTTGTTGCTGGGTTGCTTTCTTCGCATGTACCTATTTCTAGGATCTCTATTTGTAGTCCAATGTTTTTAGGCACTACTATGTCTGGATGGATATGTACAGCATTCCGTGGAAAATGTGTTGACTTAATGAGCCCTACTGCTATGGTCTTTCGTTGTTCTATAGATAATAATTGTTTAGTAGATTTCCGTTTCTGTTCGGATCTTGCCAGGGATCCAGTTTTGTTATAGAAAGTATTTTTGTTTCAAAATTACAGTATTACTCATGAGTTCTATAGTTATATATATTTTAGCCATGAGTGTCACGGTGGAATGAACTGGATGGAATTGTTGTTTATCAATTATACATAACAGCACTCTAAAACTCACAAGTGGATTTTCTTGAGTGATTCCTTTATTATTTTAGCGTTTATTAGCCAATTCTTTATTAGATGGCGATATAACGTTTTTTAATAATTTCCCAGGTCAAGCAGATGTATAGAGCTAGGTCAAGAGATTAAATCGAAACGTCTAAGATGGCTTGACCATGTCCATAGAATACCTAATAACCGCCTTGCCAAGTTAATATGGGAGGAAGCCTCCACAGGAAGAAGGTCCTTAGAACGTCCACGAATGCGATGGAGAGACAATAGATGGCCAAATTTAATAACAATGTAGCTACCGATAAAATGCGTTAGGCTTTCACGACCATAACTTGTTAAACTGTTTATTCGGGCTGTTAGGCCGTTGTCTTCTGAGATTAGTTTTCGACGTTTCGCCAACACTAAGGGTTGATATCTTCTGGAGATGTCACTGCTTCTGTCTGTTGCCCCCGATATATAGCCTATACATTCTGTTTCTTCGTCCTTTCTTCTAGAGACGTTGTTTATCGCTTTATGTATTTCTCTTCTGGTATAACCATTAGCAACCTTTAATCAGTGTGTTTTGCCAGTGTTGACTTACGGTGTGTAAACGTTGACCATGACAAGGAGAACAGTTCAAAAGATCCGTGTGTGTCAAAGGGCGATGGAGCGTGCTATGTTGGGCGTTTTACTACGAGACAAAATCCCAAATCGCCAGCTAAGACAAAGAACAGGAGTGGCTGATGCAGTAGAGAGAGTAGCAACACTGAAATGGAACTGGGCAGGTCATGTGGCTCGAATGACAGATAATAGATGGACAAAGCGGATACTGGAATGGAGACCAAGAGATGATGCCTACCGAAGCAGAGGTCGTCCACCAACACGTTGGACTGACGATCTAAAACGTTTTAATAGGAATTGGATGCAAGAGGCACAAGATCGAAATAGATGGAAAATTATGAAGGAGATCTATGTCCAGCAGTGGATAAGTGAAGATTGAATGATGATGATAACTATTAGAGATAAGAGCTTTTTCAATATGAAGAAGTACACTTTGCAGATGCTGTGGTTCACAAATTCTCTTCGCCCTCATCGCCAGTGTTTTAATGATACCTTGCTTTTGGTCTGGATGATGGTTTGAGTTCCTGTTTAGGTATCTGTCCGTGTATGTAGGCTTTCGATACACTTTATGTCCTAAGTAACCTTCCTTTAGATTTACTAACACATCTAGGAACGCTAGTTTTTGACCTTTTTCTGTTTCCATCGTAAATTGAATATTTGGGTGTAGTGTGTTTATATAAGACAGGAAATCGTGTTTTCGAAATCGAAAACGATCAAATTCGATCGAATCGAAAGTTTTTCTACTCCGTGACCCCAAATCACAAAAGTTACTTACTTACTTACTCCGTGGCGTTACAACCCTTCGTGGGTTTTAGTTGACTCGACAACATGCCTCCACTGTTTTCTGTCTTGAGCAACCTCCATCCAATTCTCCACACCCAGAGTGCTTAGGTCTCCTGCTATATTATCTCGCCACCAGAGACGAGGGCGTCCGTGTGGTCTCCTTCCAGTTGGGACTTCCTCCCACACCAGTCTTACTGTTCGTTCGTCAGAATGTCTTCTGAGGTGTCCTGCCCATTGGAGTCTTCTGGACTTTATTTCTTTTATGATGTTGGCGTCTGGGTAAAGTTTTTCAAGCTCTTTATTAGTTCTTATCCTATATTGTCCTGATGCTTCATCAAGCACCGGACCAAAGATCTTCCTTAGGATTTTTCTTTCCCAAACACGTAGTCTCTCTTCATTTGCCTTTGTTATCGTCCACGTTTCGCTTCCATACATCACAACGGGTCGTATGATTGTTTTATAGACCTGTATCTTCGTACGTCGTGTTAGTTGTTTTGATTTTATAAGGTTTTGGAGGGCAAAAATACATCTGTTGCCGGCCTGAATCCTGTTGTTTATTTCTTGTGATCCGTTATTGTCTTCAGTTATTGTTGTTCCAAGATACTTGAATTCTCTAACGCGATCAAAGTTAAAGTCATCAATGGTAATGTACTGACTGATTCTGTCTCTGCTTTGGTTATTGCGGCTCATACACATATATTTCGTCTTGTTTTCGTTGATTTGGAGCCCCATCTTCTCTGCTTCCTTCTCAAACCTTACGAAAGTCTCCTTCATCCTTAATCGCGTGTTTCCTATTAGATCTATATCGTCTGCAAATGCCTTCTCGATGAAATTTGTAGTAGTAAGTTTGGTTCTTCTCGATGAAATACTGTATTCGGTTTTTCGATTCTTGCACTTCTGATTATGTGCTCCATAGCTAAGTTGAAGAGTTGTGGTGAAAGTGCATCTCCCTGTTTTAGTCCATTGTTTATTTCAAATGTCTCCGAGTATTGTTGTCCAACTCTCATCTTACATCGTAACCGTTCCATACACATCCGTATTAACCAGACTAGTTTTTTTGGAAAGCCAAGTTCCTGCATCGCTGTCCACAGTCTGTCCCTACATACTCTATCAAATGCTTGTTTAAAATCTATGAACATCTGATGAAGCTCACGATCACGAACTCCCAGCATTTTTCCATTATCTATTTTATTGTGAATATCTGGTCAATTGTAGAGCGGCCCGGTCTAAATCCGCATTTATAATCTCCAACGATTTCTTCTGTGTATGTTTTGGTTCTTTCTAGCAGGATGTTTGCAAGGATTTTGTAGGTGGTGTTTAGGAGTGTTATTCCCCTGTAGTTAATACATTGCTTTTTGTTTCCTTTTTTGTGTTTCACAAAAGTGTCATCGACGTATCTAAACCATACCCTTGGACTCAGCATACAAGCTAATTGTGAAGTCAGCCAAGACCCACCCCGGGTTGTAGTGCTACGAGAAGAAGAAGAAAAAGAATAATTTCCCAAATATTCCATACAATTGCTGGTCCATATTTTAGATTCTACATGTCTTTTTTTAATTTGTTGTTGATTTTATTGCCTGGCCCATTTCATCTTCTTATAAGTATATTTATTCCTTTTTCTCATATTTTTGTCCCTAAGTATTTTCAAGGATTTATTTTTATCTGGTTTTCAATAAACATTGAATAAAATAATTTAATTTTTTTTAAATGTATATTTACCTGTTATCTCTATTCAGAGTGAACCCTTTGTTGCAGCTGCATCTATATGATCCCAAGATATTTGTACAGTTATGTTCACATATTCCAGGATCTCGGACACATTCATTTATATCTACACATTGGTCGGGAGATTTGAATTGGAAGCCCTCCTTGCAGTCACACCTGAATGATCCCTTTAAGTTTATGCATGTGGTAGACAAAGCTTGACAAGGCTAAAGTTTAAAGAAATAATATTTACTTATGTTTAGTTTTTAAACTAAATCAAATTCAACTTAGGGAAGGGTAATTAACAAACCTGATTGTAAATCAATACGGTCGATTTGATTAAAATTATCGCTAAATTAAAACCTTTTAATTGTTAAGTTTTATATGTTCAGTGTTTCAAAACATCGATAAAACGACTGTGTGAGTAAAACTTTTGATATTTACTGCATCTAAAAGACCTTCTTAATCCGATTTTCAGCTTACAAATCAAATCAACTAAGTTTAACAAATCAAAAGGCGGATATTTTGAAGCTATTACAAAAAAATATCAATTTTAAAGGTTTTTTCTTCACATTTACGATATCACTTGTAGTTGTAAGGACAGATTAAGATAAGTTCTGTAAGAAAGTGTATATTTCGTGTGTAGGAAGTGAAATCTCTAAAAAATCGACATTGAAGAAATTTCATCGAAGCCTCCAGATAGAGGGAAATCTTATATAGAATTAGGAGAAGATAGGATGATGGAATTTGAAGAAATTAAAAAAAAATAGCAACATTGGGGTAAATGATAAGATAACAAACGAAAAAAGCCAAACAACTAGCACTAAAGAGGTAGGTAACCAATTTGATTTTAATAACGATGCAACTTTGACACAATTTAATAAAATAGATGAGGTTGATCAACTGCTTAATATTCCCAATACTGACCTACGGATGTGAATCTTGGACTCTGAGACAATCAGAGAGAAGAAAGATAGACGCCACTGAAATGTTCTGTTGGAGACGAATGTTACGAATTCCTTGGACCGACCGCAGAACAAATAATTCAATTTTAAGAGAGCTAAAAGTTAGCCAACGACTCTCTAGTAAAATCCATCTCCAACAATTAAAATATTTTGGGCATGTTATGAGAGCAAACACAGAAAACATGGAAAGACTCATAATACAAGGAAAGGTAGAAGGCCGAAGATCACGAGGAAGATCCCCAACAAGATGGATAGATCAAATTACAGGAATATGCCAAAGACCTATGCATGAATTAAAAGAAATGACCAGAGACAGAGATCTCTGGAGACGGACAATACACGACATCACGTCGACCACTACACTCCCCCTGGGGGGTCTGGATTGAAGAGAGAGAATAAAATAGATAGATCAGTCTAATGTCACCTAACTTAAAAACTCTGCTAAAAATCATCCATAATAGAATACACGCTAAGCTGGAGATGGATATTACTGAGTTTCGATTTCGGAATTGAGTGGGCACAAGAGAGGTACTATCTTCTTTTAACGTGCTGATCCAAAGATATTTGGATGTTAATCGAGATCTTTATGTATGCTTTATAGACTAAAACAAGGCATTCGATAAACTAAAACATGACCGACTTATAGAAGTACTCAAAAACAAGAATCTGGATGTGACAGATGTAACATTGATATCAAATTTATACTACAGCCAACGATCAAATGTGAAAATTGGAAGAGAAGTGTCAGAAGAAGTTTTCTGTCGCCGTTATTTGGCGAAAACGGGGAGTTATTTGGCGTTCGAATTTGTAAAATGTAACGCAGAGGAGAGTCGACGATTAGATTTGAAACTGAGTAGGCGTGTTATGATAAAGGGTCCAAAAAAAGATTTGAAACAGGGCAGACGTATTACAATGTACAGTCGGAGAAAAGATTTGAAGCTGGTTAGACGTAGAATGTTGGGGCAATTTTAAATCAAAAACTTGATTCAATTGTTTTTTTGTAATGTTTTAATACCAGTAAGATTTGTATAGATATCGGAAATTTTTGAAAGGTATTGTATAGGATGTCCCCGTCGTCAGCTAGATTCCTCCACCAAACCTGTTTTGATCGTCGTTTCTGAGTATGGAAATGGTTTCCTGTTTTCCAGTTTGAGAATTTGTCCAAGTAGCTTCCCCAGAGATGTAGCAAGTTTTTCCTTTTCAAAGTTAAGTGAAATATGTAAAAAAATAAGGTAACTTTTAATATTTTAATTTTTCCAAGTTATATAGACATTTTTAATAATTGCTTTCATTAAAATAAAAGAATTTGTAATAATTAAAGTTTTATATTATGTTATGAGTCACAGCTGAAAAATGTCATATTTTATTCTGATTTAAAATGTTATGTTGACATATGACATTTGCTCTAATCCATTGTTGTAAAACAATTTTAATTTGATTATTATATATAAAGATATTTCATATATAAGGTTAAATTCAACAGTATTTTCATAAAAAGGATATCCATTAAATTTTGATAATCTAATTTGGCAATATTATAACCTAGGAACCATTTCAAAAATTTTTGTAGCAATGTTTTTTGGGAACACATAACACGTAAGTTTTTGTTAATTTGTATTATGTTATATAGTATGTTTCTTGTGTAATCTGTATTTTTGATAACTGTTTGTTTGAGACAAAAATAAACGTTTTATTTGTTTACCTAATCCATTTTGTGTTTTAATTTAGAAAAGTCTCCTAATCCTTGTATGTATTTTGGATTTAAGGGGAAGAAGAATTTTTTCTTTCTCCCAGCAGAAAGTTTTCTTCAAAGCGGCGTCCAAAGAGAAAATAGCTAGAGGTAAATCTTATCTGCCATATCTTATTTCGTTTTTTTTTTGACCCAGGAGATTTATGTATCTCTTTGTTTTCATTTTGTAGATACCTCAATCCGACCCATTTTATATCAACTTATCCACGACCCATTTCTCCAACAACCCACTGAGTGCCGTATGCACTAGTTTCGATTTATTTTATTTGCCCAATCTTCTACCCCATGTTCTTACCCTGAGGTAAGCAAAATAGTTTGTTACACTAATGACCTTTATTAATACGGTTATTTTCTAAATAAACAAAGTTAACTTACTCTAAACATTTTACATTCGTCAACATCTTCACATTGATTTGTAATCTTGCTCAGAAGGTGACCTAGCGGACATTCACAGGTATAATAACCGATGTAGTTTTTACAGATTTGTGTTGGTAAACATTTGTAAGTATTTTTGGCACATTCATTAACATCTACAATATACCATATTAATAAAATACGCTAAATCTATGCAGTTGGTATGATTCTAATAATTACCTATGCATTCGTCTCCAGATTCATTCAGCTCGTAACCAAGCTTGCATTGAATTTGAGGAATACAATCATACCGACCTTCGTAATTCATACATTTTTCAAACCTTCCACATGGGTTACTTTTACATTCGTCAATATCTGAAAATATTTTGCAGACTTTAAAATAATTTCAATATCGTATATTATAGCGTTAATGTTAGGAATAATTGGTTTTCGCGGTGTATATTTTTGATGAAGCATATGCCGATGTAGGAGTTTCAGCTCTAGATGTAGTAGGGGTAGTAAACCTTCCAATAGTAAACAGAGTTTGTAACAAAAATGTGTAATAGCAATGTAACAAAAGTAACTATTTTTAACTACCTTAAAATGAAACAATTGATAGATTACAACATTTTTTAACATAATAATTACTTTATTAAGTGTTCAAAATGTGCTCCATGCGAGTTGACAGTACCCTAATCGATGGTAGAATGCGTCTACCACATTTTTCCATTATTGTCTAGAAATTATTCGAGATTCATCGATATTTCGTTGCCTTAGTTTTGCAATACTTGCTGCTTTAGTTTTGTAAGCTGAATTTTTCAAGTATCCCCAATAAAAATAATCTTTAGGATTAAAATCAAGTGAACGTGGAGGCCATTTAATTGTACCTCGTCTACCAATCCATCGTCCGGGAAATACCTCTTTTAAATAACGCCGAATATTTACACCAAATTTTGTAAAATTATGACAAGCAATTTACAATTTACGAATTACGAATTACCAATTACGAATTTACTAGATAGATACCGATCAGTTAGACCGAAAAGAGTTAAGAATGACAATAAAACTAGATACAATACAAAGTTTTGTTGAATATCCATATACATCCTCACGCAGGGTTTATTACCTGGAATCAGGAATTAACGAAAAGCATGCTCTGAATATATTTTAGACTATAAAAGAACGGTATGAAACAGAATGTTTTTATAGATACTCTTAATAGAATATAGATAGTTTTAAAGATAGATAATTATAGGTTTTTAAGGCCGGGAAGTAAAATAGAAAATTGACATATGATTTTATATTTTTATAACTTTTCTTATGAACTATTGGTAAACATTCACTCCATCAAAACACAAATGAAAATAGATATTTACTTATCAACTTTGCCAGTAGAAAACATGATCATCAGCTCGACTTTTTTCCCACACCGCGACATACGCAATGCGACATGGATTATGCCTGGTGGAACAACCACCAACCAAATTGGTCATGTCGTAATAGACAAACAGGCCGCGATAAGCATGCCAGATATAAAGAGCCGAAGAATAGCATGTTGCGGATCTGACCTTCTCCCAGTACAGATAATATACAGATGCAGAATTCAAAGAAAAAGGAGGAACATACATTAACATACAACAGAACGACTAGATATACAAAAATTGAGACAATATATCAAACAGAACTATGAGAAAGAAATACACAAACACTGATAAATACAGACAGTCTAGGTACAGAACAACATTGGGTTAACAGCGCAGAAATTAAAACAAAAGTAATTGTTTGATTGGTGAATGGTTCAACGACGAGTGTAAAAAGGCCAAGAAATGAATATCAAAAAGGTTTTCGACAAGGAAGATCTACAACTGATCAGCTCTTCACCAGGAAACAAATTCTAAATAAATCGTAAGAATACGACATCGATGTTCACAACATATTCACAGATTTCAAACAGGCTTATGACTTAATTAATAGACAAAAGTTGTATCAAATATCTCGCAGAATAGAAAAAGCAGCAGACATATATTCACAATTAAAAACAGGGGCAGAAGAGACCGGATTAGAAATAAATATAAAAGACAAAAAAACTAACCCAGGCAAGAACTAGGGGAAATAGATGCAGAATTAAATTAAAGAAAGATATTGAAACATATAGATATTGAAAATATAAAGAAAAACAAAGCCTTTTTTCACTCGCCCACATGTTCCGCTCCAAAAACACATTCTGAAGACTAAAAAAAGGGGTCTACAAGACTATTATCAGACCAATAGTATGTTAAGAATGCGAGACATGGGTGATGACAGAAGAAACAACACGAAAGCTGGAAGCGTCTTCGAACGAAAAGTCCTAAGTAAGATATTTATTAACGATATTAACGAAAACGGAGTATGAAGATCCAGGAACAAGCATGAACTCTACCAACTGTTCAGAGACACTGATCTCAGAATTCGTGAAACTTCAGAAACTTCGATGGGCTCGTTATGTAGTAAGAATGGAGAACGGAAGATTGTCAAAAATAGTCCTAGATAGTACCTAAAATTCAGGGCGTGGACCAAAAGAAGGGCCATGGAAAATGTGGTGGCCAGTGGGAGGATAAAGTGGCAGCGGATGGACAAGATTTGCTAGACGTGATAACCTGGGGTAGATCGGCGCAGGAGCGGCAAGGTTGAAGGCATAGTTTGAAGGAGGTTAGGGCTTGATTTGGGCTGTAGCACCATTGTAGATAGAGAAAGAGAAAGAGAGAGAGAGAGAGATTTAATCGGGGTCTATCCATGGGAGTTAAGTTCCCGAGTACGGCTCGTCGATCTTGAGAATACGAAGGTTTTGACTGTTAAGTAGCATTTGTACTAAGCGTAGTTTGTACTGTATAGTATTTTGGTGAAATGAACGGTAGTTCGTAAATAGAATTCTTATCATCAGCATTATGTGCAGCGGCAGCTTTTCCTTAATAATTTAAAGTAGTTTTTAAGTGTTACGCCGTTGGATTCATATTACTTGGAATATTAAATTGATAGACTTGGGCCCATTTTATCTAAAGCAGAAGATTGCTGGTAGTATGGCCCTCTATGGTATGGTAGTATGGTGGGTTCAGACCTGTAAGATCGAAAAGTATTTCAACACTTGAAATTTGGTCCCAATTTCCTGCAATTATGCGTTTCTTTTTTTATAGGAGGGAGAAGGTAAATCTAAAGACCGTAGGCCATGTCCCGTTAGTGATGCCCTGGCGTATGTTAAATTCGCGATAGAAGTGTCCATCCGCACGCAGTCCTCGCAGAGTTGTGCTGACAGAGTTGTGCTCAAAGATACACCCATAGCTCCCTGCCTACCAACTAAAGTCCACACCCTCAACCGGACTTCTCATGCGGTAGGCCTCTGTCAGGCCGATGCGTCACACGAATAGCTCGTCTTTTTTTTTCTTCTTTCCTTACTCTATCTCTTCCCACCATCTCTCCCTTTGTCTCACCTTTGCTGCAGATTTCTCTCCAGTATTTCCTTCTTTCTGACAATTTAAAATACTGCCTCCAGTATTACCTTGTATTCAGTCTTTCCACTTATTGCTACGTGCATTATTTTATTTGCGCTTTCCTACCTACCTTCCTGTGTCGTTTCTGCCGTCATTGGACATTCTGCGAAGTTTCGATCTGCTACTTTTCCCATCCTTTCTAGGTAGGCCCTGAAGGAGCCATGCCCTGTTAGGAACGGGGCGAAAAACCAGTTAGTGTCTCTGTCACCGCATTTCATACAGTCCACAATATTTGGAATTAATACCCTAGTCCAGGCCGCCCTATGTTCGTTTGTCCATTCTTTCTGTCATTCCGTTATGTTGTTGTTCCTAACTACCATTTTCTGCTGTTCATTCATCTCGTAGGTTTCACCTTTCTTTCATCATCAGGTGGATGGGTACTACACTTCGCGATTACTTGTATAGCTATCGTTAATGTTGTTCTGGATGCACGTCCTACCCTTAACAGTGCTTTACTTTGGGCTTTTTCACTTTTACAAGTGATGTTACACTTGTTGCCATATCGGTACTGTAGAAAGTACAGTAGAGTGGGTCACTTTCATTAATATTCTCCTTTTGGCAGTATTCGCCAGACCTCCTTTTCGCATCCCTATGTGTTCCCACTCGTCGGAAAGAACAAAAGTTTAGCTAGACAGTGCTCCCTTATCCAGCTAAGGCATTTATCACCCCGGAAGGTTGCCAGGTATTCATTCCCTAGTCACGGTGCCGGGATTTCTAATTTTTTATCGAGTACTCCTCTTGATTGGCCACAGTTTTTCCAGGTAGGAGTGACAGCAAAGTTCGTATACTGTCTGGTGTTTTTCAATGTAGCTCACCTTACACTATGGGGATATAAGGAAAGAAAGGATAAAGGATGGATAAGAAGTAGGTGTTGCTTTCTAATTGTACTCGGAGTTCAGGTCTGATGTATCTTTGGATATCTTGGTCGTTGACCATTTGGTGACTGTGCTTTAAGTCGCAGACATAAAAGGTGATAGCGAGGACTTTACGCCCTTAAGAGAGGTTTTTTTATTTAGGAAGGTGCAGCAATTGGGAATGATTGCTGCACCTTTCAGCGACGGCGTCCGCCGGCTACCCGGTGCACCGACGCCGGACGGTATTTAAACTGTTCTTGGTTTCACCGGCCGTGTTCCCCTCATATTAGTAGACATCAAGATCGATTACTCGGCCTTATACCACGTCGAGGTTATCCAACAGTCCCGAAAGGAATTGTGCGTTTCTAGTTTACACTCATTGACAGAATTCAGGGTGTAGTCTGTTCCATTTCCAAATATACCAGAACACTGTAAAGATCCAATCGTATTATCTACTTTCTGCTACTTTATAATTGTTTAGTCCCACCGGACATTTATTAATGTCTGCAGAATATTTTTTTAATCAACCTTGAAGATAAAAAACTCGATAACAAAATGAATTGGAACTTACCTGCGCATTTTTGTGTTTCATTAACGTAACTATATCCTGTAGGGCATATAACCTTTTGAGTTGTGGAAGTAGGCTGGGTAGTGGAAGTTGAGCTGGAGCTTTCTTGTAAAACGCATTTATAACTTCCAAAGACATTAACACACCTCTCATTATGAGCACATATATTTTCTTTTTCTTCGCACTCATTTATATCTTCACATAGTTGAATTACAGTATTCATTTTAAAACCAAGAGCACAAGTACTATTTGTGGAAGCTTTATCTACACAGGTGTAATTTCCTTTTGTATTTACACAAACCTGAGATTCTGTGTTACAACCGTTTTTGCCCGTTAGACATTCATCAATATCTATGGAACAAAATAAATATTTGGATATTAATAACGCATACCTGAATGGTATCCTAAAATTGATTATTATTTATTTATATTACCTGCACAAGCTTTTGTAGAAGGGTTATAGCTAAAACCTGGTGGACAAAGTGATGTGTCTTCCTCCAATCCACATGTATAGGATCCTATCGTGTTCTTACAAACTTTTGGAGGAAGACATATTAATTTAATTTGACATTCGTCTATATCTACAAAGAAAATATATTTTAATTTATATTTATTAAAATAATTAAAAGTAAGTTACCATCACAAAGTTGTTTTTCAACATTGTATTGATATCCACTGGGACAATCATCTTCATATTCATATTCTTTACTTCTGTTATTGAAGATTGAGTCGTAGCAAGAGTAAGTTCCTATTTCATTTATGCAGTCATCAACTGATTGACAATTGTGGATATTTAGCGCACATTCATCAATATCTAGAATAGTATTATCAATTATGTATTTAATAAACACAACAAAGAACGAATAAAAAGGTAAGGAAAATAATGGGAAACCTATAAATGAAAATAATTTCTATCCTTGTGTGATCGGTACACACCGGAGGGACCGCAGACGTTCGGATACAATTAGCGTCTCTTAGCAAAGACAATGACGTCGACTTTGCTAAGTATCAAGACAATTACTCTACACACACACACTACACCTCAAATTGTAAGATTGGCGAATGGATTTAGTGTCCGCAGTCATTAAAACACAAACAAACAACAACAATGGGAAACCTAAAAACAGGAAAAGTTCATCACCAAATTTATAAATGTTATTACGCCATGTAGATCGAATTTAAGTTTAATATAATGATAAATTAACTTAAAAGTCATCTTAAGATATTCACAGCATATACAGATTGAACCAAATTAAAACGGAACATAGGAAATACATGTATATCGGATCTACTTCGCTTTAGGTGCTTAGCCAACAAAAGGTTGTCAAATAATTATATTATACAAATCCAATACTTCAACGTGCGGCTGGATTCTGAATTCGTTGTTTAAAACAGGTGAAAACTCCCCCATTTTATTAAAAATACCGGTAACTTGAAAAGCAAAAAAGTTAAGTGCAAATGTATGCCACATATTATGTGGCATATGCGGCACTCTCTATCAGCTACAATCAAGGTATACATTAAATTATAATTTCTGATATTTAATAGTACCCAGTTGTAAATTTTTGTACATTTATGGTGACAAACATGAAAGTTATAGCGAAAAATAAAATTTTAAATTTCCACTTTAACACCCTGTATCTTTCTTAATATCAACATTTTATTAAAGCAACTTGACTTAAATCGTAATATTATAAAGTGTAGAATCTACGGTTTCTTTTTGTACAATTACTTAAAAACCACCCTGTATATATATATATATATATATATATATATATATATATATATATATATATATATATATATATATAGGTTGTAATTTATTTTATTATGTGTTTTATGTTAAGTTTTATCTATGTCTAATGTTTTTGTTGTTATTCGTCAAAAATAAATTTATAGAATATAATTACCTTCACAAGTCCTATTATTTTCTGATAATTGATATCCTTCCCTACATGAGCATTTAATTGTCGTACCTGTATCGCTACAATCGTGGTCACAGGGATTGAATAGTTCACATCTACAAAAGTTTAATTAAAAACCAAAAAGTTTATTAAGCTCAGACGCACCTTCCTTTTTGATTAAGAACTCGCTCCTCAGGTTCACAAGATACACCGTCTTCCATTAAAATGAAGCCTTTAAAGCAATCACATTTGAAAAAAACGGAAGTGTTAAAAAGTGGTTTACATATCTGGGTACACACCTCGGAATCACAGATATTTTCAATCGCTACAATAAAAATCCATAAATAATCTTCGGCTTAAGTTAAATTTCGATTATAAAAAAAGTCAATTGCGCTAAGCCAGATAATTAAGATATAAATATTTTTTTTGTATAGTGGACATTTTTTAGTATTTGGAAATAATTTATCTGACATTTCTTTGTACTCCAGTCGTCAGAGACGAAAATGCCACTGATCCTCTTAAAATCATACGAAATATAGCTGAATTTTGCTGAGATTGTCAATTTTGGGACAAAAACTCAAATTCATGTTATAAGTTTTACTGGCCCTGGACTCTGGACAAGGGACCTGCTCAGGGTCCCTTGTCCATGGTCACGGATGAAGACTACAACGGCATTCAAGGCGGAGAAGGATACCTTCGGTACGGCGAGGATGGCGGAAGTGGCACCCCCTGATTTTAGGGTTAATATAAAATCAGTAGCGTCTGATCTAGAGTGGACGGCTACGAACAGCGTCTGACCCAGAGTAGGCGGCTGAATATACACTCACCAACCCGTCTGACCAGCGTGGTGTTTTATGGTCAACACCTCCCTACTCAAATGGCGAATACAAACCCGAATGGAACTGGTCCCCAGGTAGGTGGTTCACATTGTGGCAAATCCTACACCTTATCTAACAAGGTCAGTCTCATCGGATCTGGGGGAGACAATAGTTCGTCAATACAGACAACAAAAATGTATATCTCAACTTTTAATGTAAGATCTTTGTCTAAAGACGAGAAACTCTATGAATTAGAGGAAGAAGTTATACACCAGCAATGGGACATAATCGGACTACCGAAAGTAAAAAGAAAAGGTGAAAACTGCATCTCGCTAGAGTCTGGAAACATATTGTATTTTAAAGGTAGAGAAAACGAAAGTTTAGATAGAATTGGTTTTTTGATTTCGAAAAAATACGATCATAAAATTAAGGAATACGTAGGAATAACAGAAAGAATCGCTTTATTAATCATAAATATCATCGAAAAGGTCACATTAAAAATAATTCAGAATTAAAGGAGAATAAAGAACAATACCAAAACAAATTAAGAACAGCTGAAGAACTAAAGCTAACAGACCTAAATCTCGATCAACTAAACAAAGCCATCACTGAAGAACTTCTAAAGAGTAGCTTAGAAGTAGCCCCAGCAAAATCAGACAAAAAATCAAAACTAAGTGTCATATCTCTAGACATACTATAACAATGGAGAAGCCTACTACAAGAAAATAAAAGAAATACAACTGAATACAAAACCCTTATAACAGACATTATATTAAACAAGATCTCAAACGGCATCAAGAAGAACGAACCGAGAAGATTATAGAAGAGAATAGAAACTTCGGATCTATCAAGTCCCTACTAGGAAGAAATAAAATCATAGAGATGGAAAATAAACAAGGTGTAATAGAAAAAGCAGAACCCAAATATCTAAGATAACAAGGGAATATTATAGAGACCTCTACAGCTCTAAAATAGTCCACCTGATATAACTCAACAAAACCTGAAAAAGAAAATAATGAATGTAAACTCTGAAATATTACCCCCCACCCTAACCGGAGAAGAAATAGAAAAAGCAATTAGAGATATGAAAAGAAATAATGCTCCGGGAGACGATGAAATTCTAATTGAAATGTTAAAAGAAGGAGGGAAAAAGATAAAAAACTACCTTAAGATACTTTTCAATAAATGTTTGTTTGAAGGACAAATACCGCAAGAGTGGAACAAGGCAAATACAATTCTGATATATAAGAAAGAAAATAGATCAAAATTAGCTAACTATAGACCAATATCTCTTGTCACAAATCTTTATTTTATACCAATATCTCTAACTTTCACTAAGGTGATCACAACTAGACTAAACAACAAATTTGATGCATACCAACCAGTTGAGCAGGCAGGATTTAGAAAGGGGCACAGCACAAACGACCACCTTCTCACTCTTAAAATATTGATAGAAAAGACCAACGAATACAACCTTCCAATGTACCTACTAGCGTTTGTTGACTATGAAAAAGCGTTTGACAGCATAGAACTATGGGCAGTGGAAGAAGCGCTATTTAATTGCCGAATAGATTCACGGTACAGAATGTTAATCTACAATATATATCAAAACGCCACTATAAGAACTCAGCTAGACAGATATTTGCAAACTCCATTAATAACAATTTGTAGAGGTGTCAGACAAGGGGATACAATCTCACCCAAACTATTTACTCTGGCGTTGGAAGACATTTTTAAATCTATAGACTGGGATAATAAAGGGATTTGTATAAACGCGAAATATTTAAATTATCTTAGATTCGCCGATGATGTAGGTACTCCTGATAGCAACAACTATGGAACAGCTACGAATAATGATTTCAGACCTAGAAAAAACATCTCTTGAGAAAGGACTAAAAATTTGTTTTCAACCAACACTCAGTGTACTATATTTTGACTGATTCCATAGATAGATGCAACTTGGACTGTAAAAGAAGTAGGGTTCACTACCATTTCTGAAATTATGTAATTTTTTGTGTTATCACTTATTGTGTATCGTACACTACCTGTTTGTTTACACTTCCGAAGAAGTTTTCTCAAATAATCTCTCGATGTAGGGCGATCGGGGTAACTCTCATTAAAAAGACGTTCCGTTTCATGGAAATTATTTCCACATTCACCAAATATTAACACAGTTGCTACTTTGTCGCCTACAGTACGTACCATTCTGCCTTTGTAAAAGTTTAAACGTCTCGTTAAACAATCATTAAACTAAATATTAACTAAGAACAACTAACTAAAAACAAGTTGACTAAACTTGAATTGACTAAATAAAGCAGAAACAGAAGCTAAATATTCAGGTGTAAATGCGTTTGCAAACTAAAAATAACTAGAGTATTAACTAAACTAAGCAGGAACTGAGCTATAAACGCCTTTGGGAACTAATTATTTATCTATACAAACTAGAAAATTGACAAACAACTTTTTGACAAATAACCAAAGGTGGACGTTACAATTTTTATTAATTAAATGCCAAACTAGAATTTTAGTCTTTATTTAATTTATTCGTCAAAATCATCTTAAATCCAAACAAAATTATTATAATGGAATGGGTATATTAAAATAATAATTGTACATGATACTATGAATAACAAGATAGGATCTTCCCGTAGCTCAAAATCGGTCGTGTTCGCGCATGCCGTCATTGGAGACTAGAATTTGAATTCTTGTTAAAGTTAAATGAGATTTTTTATGCATTCTGTGATGAAATTACTAGACGAAAATAAGTTAAGAGGTTTAATAATTACAATAATCGTACACATAAGGATATCTCCAAACTATTTATTAAAGATTATTTATTGATATATACAAAAACTGACATTTCGAACGTGCAAGTCTCCAATGACGTCACAAAAACATGCGCAATATCTTATCTTATAGTCATAGTATCATGTAATTGTAGATTCGCTCTTAATTAATAAATATTCTAACGTTCGCCTCTGGTTAATTGTCAAAAATGTTGACGTTGACGTAAAACAATTAGAGAATTGACAAACGTCAACTTTTTGACAAGTTTTGACAAACTCAAATAAAATTAGTATGGTTGAATAGGTATTTTCAATACTTTTCAAACGAGGTATTACTTGACAGAAGGTCCTGTTTAAAATTATCTGTCACAGTAGCGCTGTAACCTCATCTGTCACTATTACGTCACTTGTTATACCTAGTTAAGAAGCTTATATCTGTTTATTACCTCCCACCAAATTTTATTATTATATGTATAACCGTTCAAAAGATACGAGGGGGAACGGACTTTTGACTAGCATTGTATGTGTAAATACGTTAATTATTGTTTCTATTTCCTAAAAAGACAAACAAACAGAAAATCTTACACTTAGGATCAGTATCAGAATTGTCAATAAACGATTTCGCTGTGGTGGTGGTGGTGGTGCTGGTGGTGGTACTTGTAAACAAAGTAGTAGCAGTACTAGATGTAACGTTTGAGTAATTTTCACAACATTGTTTAAAGGCATCATCGTAAAGTGGACTAAGACCTAAGCCGGTGCAAGGCTCTTTAGCTCTTGAAGCGTCTATACCGGCTTGGCAAGCTTCACAACAATCCTAAAAATTATAAATTTATAATTACTATTAACTATTATTACGAATGAGGTTAGAAAATATTTTGTAAATTGTAAATGAGTATTAAAGTATCTGCATTGGTTTATTTGGCTATTTGATTCTACGACTATATTTATCATTCCCCAGTATGTGTCCAAGGTATGCAGTCTTGCGTACTTTTATTGTTCTCAACAATTTTTGTCTCGACCCATCCTTCTCAGCACTTCCTCATCCTGGCAGTCCATGGAATTCTCAACATTCTCCGGTATATCAGAAGTTAAAAGGCTCCAAGCTTCTTAACTATTTGCGCTTTTAACGTCCATATTTCTACCCCGTACAATAGTTAAGACCAGACGTAACATTCCACAAACCTGAGTCTCAGCGCAGTATTCAGATTATTATCACGCATTCATTGCTTGAATTTTAAGAATGCTGCCCTTGCCATTTGTATTCGTACTCTGATCTTTTGGTCTGGATCTAATTTTGTATTGATATAAGCTCTTGTAATTGACACAAATACTGGTACAAAATTTCTTAAATCCATGAAAAATTTACAGATTCGTATTTTTATTTGACGAAATTGTAACCCAATTTTGACTAAAACAAGATAATTTTTGGCAATATCGCCATTCGTCCCTTCTCTTGAATACTAAATTGCATACGAGACAGGTCGACAGCTATGTTATGTATTTATTTTTGGAGGTAACTTTGTAAGTGTAAAGATAAGAATTAAATATGCCGACTGTTTATACAAAAGAAGAACGGGTACAAATAATAAAATGGTACAACAAACTGTATTATCCATCATTAATCAATTATCAATTTGAAAAGTTTGGGTGTACTAATGGCAGATGTAAAAAATGCTGCCCGTCAGATCAACCTCGAGAAAAGAAAATTTCTCAAGAACGAGATATTAGAGAAATTCAAGTTTGTGCATTGGTTGAAGCGACGCCGTGTTCAAATAAACAAATTGCCGATGAATTTGATTTGAATACAAAAACAGTGAGGAATATTTTGAAAAGAAACCACTATCATTGTTATAAAGTGCAGACAACTCAAGAAATATTTCCTGATGATAAATTTAAACGGATGCAATTTTGTGAAATTATGAGGGAGAGATGCTATGCAAATAATAATATTTTTAAAAATATTTTGTTTACAGATGAGTCCTCCTTCACAATTCACAAGAAACATAATCAATCCGTTGTACGTTATTGGTCTCTAGAGAATAAGCATTTGAGTGTGTCTGTGCGTACGCAGTATCCACAAATATTGAATGTTTGGACTGGAATTTTGGGAGACCATATTATTGGTCCTTTTTTCATTGAAGGTAATTTAAACACAGTCAAATATCTCCAATTACTGCAAAATCAAATTATTCTTGCACTTCCACGTCTTCGAATTAACTTTTTACCAACGAAATTTGATTTCAACAAGACGGCTGTCCTGCACATAATGCAAAAGCCGTTAGAGACTATTTAGTGTTAATTTTTGCCGAACGTGTCATTAGTACAGACGGTACAATAAAATGGCCCCCTCAGTCACCCGACTTAGCTCCTCTAAATTTTTATTTTTGGATTTTATTATTGGTAGATGAACTCAACGACATGAGAAATGCTTTGTGTAATAGATTTGGTTATTGTTCGTTACAATTTGGTGGTCTGTTTGAACATTTAATTACCTGTTTGGAATTATTTTTAATTTATACAGCAGTGTTGAAATTACTTTTAATTTGGTTTTATTTTATAGAACAAATTTTATACTAATTTTATCTTTTTATTTTCATTTTTATAGAACTAATTTTTATTTTCTCACCTACTAACTCCAAAAAATTTAATCGAAAATATGGTTTTAAAAATATTATTTGGAAAATACCAAATAATATCTTATTTTTATTTAAAAGATGTAATTTTTCGTCCAGTTTAAATTTAATATAATACACCTGCTCCTTCCTAATGCTTTACTATAGTCGGACAATTTTCAATTAAAGGTGACTAATCTACAAATTGAACTAAACGATAGCGGCAACCATGAAAAATTTCATTAGTAAATTCTTACCGGGGTCATTTTTATTCTGTATGCTTCGCCCATGTAAATATGTAAATTTGTAACCCATCTAAGATAAATTTGCCCCCGTAACAGTATAAATTGGTGCGATTCACGAGTGTATAGTGAGACAAGTTCATAGTTCATAGTTCATAGTTTGGAACATCGGTAAAATTATCAATATTTTGCTGGTCTATATATATTTACGTTTTTAGAAAGAATGTTAATTAGAGAAATATGATATCTTAGCTTATTGAAGTTTATTAAATATGATATCTTCCAGATTTTATACAATGTACATAGGCGTAGTGTATTATTGGGAATATATTTATTAAATATACTTTATTATTAACTTTAAAATAGTTTTGAGGTAAGTAAAGTAAATTTAAGGCCAGTTTATTCTTTATATAGTATTAAACCCTTAACGGCCGCTCAATATACAAAGAGAAATTTGACAATTCATTTATTAGATTGGATTAAAAACACAAATTAGGAATAAATTACAACCAGAAAGATTTTTTTTCTCATTTTTAACGAAAACAGTACAATTTTTAATAAAGGAACATATTATATCTTAAACGTAAATTAAATTTTAAGGTAAAAATTTTCGAAATATTCGGGATGTAGACGCATTCTACACTTTTTAGATAAATAAATAGTATTACTTTTGTACATCCTACATTTTTGCACTATCGTCTCTTTTTATAATGTGGCCAATATTGTCGAATCTGGTTACATCTGGTAAAGCAAATTTAGATTGACGCCCATGTACTGACACTGATGTAGCGGTTTCTTCACTATTATAAATTAAAATTATAAATCTATGTCGGCTCATGCCGACATAGATTTCTCTTATAGTATGCACTTCTTTATCCTCATCCTTTGACCAATGCATATCAACTTGAAGCAGAGTGTAAACCAGATAATTTACATATGTTAATAATTTTTTTAAATCTATGTTATTCATTTCAAAATTGTGACGGTTATTCTCAATTACTTTTTTATCAAAAAGAGTGAAAAAACTTCAATATATGACTTGCCTACATGGTTGGCTTTTATATTGTCTAAATATCAATCAGACTGATGTTGAATTACTACTGAGCACGAAAGAATATCCGTTATTATAACTTGAGATAAATTTGGATTTACTATTTTTGCCTTATTTTTACTTATTGGTTTTTTCTTTGGACGTTTTATCTGTGGTTCAGAGGAATATCATAATTAGAATCGTTAGAATTCCCAATCACTTGTATTTCATATGTACCTGCAATATCCGATTATATTGATTCTTCACAAATAATATTATCATCAATATCTTCAAGGAATACAATAATATACCAGCAAACGAATGGGAAAGATACCTGACGGAACTGTTTAAAGCAAAGGAAAATAATAATCAACACAATAACGTACCTGAACTAAGAGACGAAATAGAAATCAGTTTTCACGAAGTAGAAATAGTCATAAATTCACTCAAAAATAGAAAGTCACCAGGACCAGACGGAATAACCAACGAGCTTCTAAAATACGGATGAGAAAGTTTAAGCCTAGAGATGACAAAACTTATACAAAAACTAATATTGCACTGCAAGATACCAGACGCATGGAGAAACAGCATAATGATACCAATGGTCAAGAAAGGAGATAAAGAAGACCCCAACATTTATAGAGGTATAAATCTACTGAACACCGCACTTAAGCTTACCACAAAAGTCCTAACCAACAAAATCAATAAACTAACAACTTTATCAGATGAACAACAAGGATTCAGATTGTAGCATTTTCAATTTCATTGATTCTTTTAAGTATATTGAAGTCCCCTCGTATACGAAATATTAAAATCACCTTATATATTTTTGATAGATGTAAAAATATTTCGTACGTATTTAAACGCAAATATCTTTTCATTTTTTTCTTAGGTTGGCCAAGTTGAAATAAACCATTTTAGAGTTGTTTATTTATTTTAACTTCCTCGGCAAATTCTTGTTTTATCAGAAGCCGCAATTTTAATGCGTCGCAAAAAGATATGTACGTCGTTTCGTGGTGTCTTGTTATGTCAGCGTTTGTATGTATGCGTTCAATTTGAATAGATAATTTCGTCACTCTCGTTGGAGCAGCTTTCAACAGCGGTTCAGCGTTATGTCCAAATTCACGTCGAATTTGTAAAGTGTTCTGTTTTCGTCTTCTATTATGAAGAATATAATGTAGCAGTTTGTTATTGGTTTTGTGGCAGTAAATGCTTCAATTATTAATGTTTTGAGTGAGGATTGGAGGACATCCTCGTTTTTTTTTGTTCCTGCTTTTATCCAAGGCTTTTGGCAGTTTTGGAGATGGAGGTTTTCGTGATGCAGAGAGAGTGGAGCCCTCAGTTCCAGGTTCCAGTTATGGTTTCAGAAACTTAAGTGTGATCATGTGAATTAAGGTAACATTTTGTTCAAATTTTAAACTAAAGACAGACATTTTTTTATAAAATAATAATTGCTTTCGTTGACATTTAAAATTGTAAATTTTAGGTTTTGAGTAAAGCTGTCAATTTGTGTTTAGTTTTTTTTTAATTCAATGTTAATTTATGACAGCTCGTAGTATTTTTGATGTTGATTTGTTTTGTTTTTTTTTTTTAAATGTTAACCTCCATGCAATTTTGTGAGTTTTGTAGCAATGGAGTTTGTTAATGGATGACACATGTAAGTTTTTGAATTTTGTATTTCTCCATGTAACTGTTTGTGGTGACACATAAATAAATGTTAAATTTTGTTGTCTTAACATTTTGTTTATTAGTTTTTTTTGAGCTAACCCCTTTTTGAGTTTATTTGAAAAAGATATGTTTTTTATGTTTTGATTTTGTTTTCTAATTATTTCCCTAGTTACAACTAGTGGTTGTATAATAATAATAGTCTCCCGTTTTATACCGCACGCGGCTTTGGGAGTATAGCAGGGTAGTCTGCTATATCTAGGGCCTACGGTATACAAGGAAGGTAACATGGCCAGTGCTACGCTTCAACCGCCTATTATTACCCCTGGTTTTACCCAAGGTACTCATTTTATTCAGGCTGAGTCGACCTGAGGCCTATAGACATTTTAAAAATGCCTAGTTGTTCTTGCCGGCGGTAGGATTCGAACTCACGACCACCGGCATGCGAGGCAAGCACACTACCGCTTGCGCTAGGCAGCCCTAATTATGCCTATTACAACTAGTGGTTGTAATAGGCATAATTAGGCACCTCAAGTGGCGCCCTATATTAAATTCCTTGAGGTGTTTCTTGTTTATTTTTATTGTGTTTGTTCCAAAAGATTAATGACCTCTTTATTTCATTTTTTTGTAGTTGCCCCATTCCAATGCCCCTATCTTTTACTTATCCACGACCCCAGCTCTCCTACGAAACCCTGAGTGCCGTTCGCATCAGTAGCGATTATTTTGCTTACCCTATCTCCACCCCTTTAGTTTCTTCCTTCAATTTTCTACCCCCTTGTGTTAAAGTCCCCTGTGGTAGGCAAAATAATCTCGTTACAAGATCCGGATGATCCTGCGTAGACGCCGTATTTGTACTAAGACAAATCACAGAAAAGGCCATTATATCTATGTTTTATAGACCTGGCAAAGGCTTTCGATCGCATCCAAGTCGCAGACGTCTTACAACTACTGTATAAAAGGAACATACCAATCAATATTATACAAACCATCGAAAGCATCTACCTCCATAATCCAATACAAGCAAAGATAAATGGAAAACTAACACAGTGTATACCGGTACAAAGCGGAGACAGGGTGACTCGTTAAGCCCACTTCACTTTAATATATTAATAGACGAAATAATACAAGTAGTACGTAAAAGTCATGGCTACAGAATTATGAACAAAGAAATCCAAATATTATGTTATGCAGACGACGCCGCATTAATCGCCGAGACAGAAGATGAGCTCTAAAGATTAACACATATCTTCAATACAACAGCTAAGAAATACAATATAATAATATCAGCGGAAAAATACCAATGTATGACATTTAAATACCCACTACGGTGTAAAATCGAAATTGATGGGAAAATAATAAAGCCGGAAGCAAGGGTTAGATATCTGGGAATAGATATAACTAGTTACGGAGATGTTGAAGGAGAAGTACGACAGCAAAGCTTAAAAGAAGGTAAAGCGGCGGGTTCTCTTAATGACACAATCTGGAAGAACAAACACCTAAGACAAGACACAAAAACAAGAATCTATAAAGCAGGAATTAGACCTATATACACGGCTGAGATAAGACCTGACACATCTAAAACGAGACGACTGCTAGAAACAACAGAGATGAAAATACTCCGACGAATATCAAGGAGAAGTCTGTTGGATAGGGAGAGAAGCAAAAACATAAGAAGAGCATGCAATATAGAAGACATAAATGGATGGGTGACAAAACGAAAACAAAAGTGGAACAAACACATCAGTAGAATGGCGGAGGATAGAATAGTACGAATAGCACGAGATAAGTCACCAAATGGACGAAGAAGTATTGGCAGACCAAGAAAAAGATGTTGCGACAATTTAAACAATTTAGGAAGCTAATATTGAAGAAGAAACAGGCTTTAAAGCCTACAAACTAGAAGGAAGAAGAAGAAAAAGATCAATGTCTTCTACATCAGAAACTTTCTAATCTAATCTCGGCGGCAAATAAACCACATTAAGTGGCATTTTCACAATCTGAGTCTTCTTCTAACAAAGCTATTAACTCTTTAGTAGTTAGTGCCATCTTCATTTCATATTTCGAGAAATTACTGAAATAAACAAATGCACTGCTATATAAACACATTCATATGATAATAGTTTAGCTTACTTTATTTTAATTTATATGAACTTCATAATATATTTTCATATTTATGTAAACGAATAAACACAACAAACTTCCAAATTAAGTAAAAAAAAACAAATATAACGTTTACAGCACACAGCAATTCTATAAATAGAGAATGATGTGTAATTATGTGTAATTAAAATTGCAGATTGTTTTTAGTCTAATGAAAAAAAAAAATATTTTCCAAAGTTTTCTGTTTTTTGAAGTTCTGTATTAGATACTCTCTAATAAGAATAAAATTTTATTTTATTTTGTTAGACAACTATAATATACCTGTTAAAAGAGACAACTATAAGATACCTCTGCAAAATTGATAATTTCAATACGATTTCGTTGAAAAGTTATCGTTAAGGGCTTCGTTAAGTACGATGTTGCCAAGTAATCACCTTCAATTAAAAATTGTTTTAGGTTAGTACTGAGTCAGTAAGTACTACCACCTGACTGACTGTCTTTGTCTTTATTTATTATGCTTTATGAAAGAACAACCCATTATAAACCGTGATATGCGCATGACATATCACAGAACTCGTTCTGTTCTGTAGAGATGAGCGTTGAATCGCCGAACTGTTTTATTTAACCGTTTATTTGTCATTAACGAATCTACAGTTTTTCACTGGGAAGCCAACTAGTTAATGGTTGATTCAAAATAAATACGTTTTGTGTAGATGTAAACAAATAAATAACGAACACTTCACGTCGACATGGACAATTGGTTGATCTGAGAGACTACTACAAAACTAAAAATAAGATCCCAACTCTTTCGGGACGGTGGGCACTCGGGCGATCGGTTGACGTTGAAAATAAAATAACTATGTAGGTATTCTAATTGATGAATGAGTTTCGATTTTCGATTGATCTGCATTTTCGATTTCAAATCTTTATTGTTAGTTCGTTAAAGGATATATTTATTGTAAATATTCAATTAAGAAGTCTTTTTCTTAGTTAAAATTATTTACCTAGTACAAACGTAATAATTGTATTTTCAAAAAATGCACACTTGTAGAAGATGCAGCTCGATACAGCTTTATGCTCGACTTTCTGAATTTTGCAATGGTCGATTATTTTTAATTTGAAATAGTAATACATGGGAGCCCCCGATTCATGTTTTGTATTATTCAGCAAACATAATTTTTATTTGAAGTTTTTGTTTTGTCTAACGTAAGTGTAAATTTATTCTGAGAGTACTGAATATTTACTTTATTAACTATTTGTTTGTTTAACATGTCTGCGCGTAAAAATTTTAGTATTTTATGTCATCACTTTGAGAAAGACATTAACAGTAAGAAGGCTGTATGCAATATATGCAAAGAAAAACTTAGTTATAAATCAACTACAGCAAATTTAAAATGCCATTTAAAGTATTTTAGTATTTTTTTCTTTGAATTAAGAAAGCATGTTTGTTTATGTACTCACTTATTTGAAACTACTGTTAAACAATCAACTAGTTGAATAATTTAATTAGTTTTTCAACTTTTTACTTGTTTACGAAAGACTGTTTAGATTCGTTAACGATAAAAACGTCAACGACTCACCTCTACTGTTTTTCTCGTTACTACAGTCTACTTACTTTGACAACTCGACGTTGCCAAATAATTTTGTAAGAAGCTTTTTTGATGTGGCGTCATAATGCAGTTTATTATTTTTATTGGGAATAAGGCGTAATGTGACTAAAATAAGCTTATTTTGATGTTTAGATTTCCAATTCGGAAATCGTATTTAAAATACGAAACATTAATAATTTTATTTATATAAAACGATTTCCGAAGTGGAAATTAAAATGTTAAATTAAACGTATTGTAAAGGAAAATCATGGCATATTTAAAATAAAAAACAGTAAGCTGTCATTTAAATCAATTCGACCAAATTTGATTATTTTGGAACATTGTTAAAATGCTAAAAAGACAACAGATCAAATAAAACCAATAAGTTTGGCAGAGTTGAACTTCCCCTCTTTTATTATTATCACTAATGCATTTTCGACGATATAAAGGGCGGACCTAAGGTACATACCGACCATAAACTTTTACCTACACTGTATATACAAACTTGGTATTAATATTATAAACGACCTACCTTTCTTACTTCATCAGTGACTGAACAAGAAACTCCATTAACCGCATCAGTTGTTCCCAGTTGACAGTTTTTTTCTCTAAATTATAAAAAAAAAAAAATAAAAATAACATAAAATACATCAATATGTTGGTGTTGTTGAACGAGGCACCAATGCATGCATTGTTTAAAAGTGTGTTAACAACTTATGAGTAAACCCAAAATAAGAATGACATTTGATAAAGCTCCGGTAATTCTAAAGCGGTAATTCTAAATACGTTAATATACCAAGATGTTACCAAAGTTAGTGTAAGTTGACATCAATGAAGTAAGTACCTAAGGTTTTATAAACACCTCTATCATTAATGTGGATCTAATGTGAATAAAGAAATAAATCATAGTGATTAATCTGTGGTTCACTTCACCCATCTAATTAAGGACTATGTAAGCAGAATTAAGATGTATATATACTCCGCCAAAAAAGTATCGCATCACTTATAAAATTACAAATATTTCTGACAGCATTTGGTTAATTTAAATTATTTCTTTCGGTCCTTAAGAATATGAATGCTAGTGTTCTCCGGAGGCGTGTCAGTCGGAAGCTGACAGCCGTGCCGGACACATCAGGAAATTCGGAGATTGGTCCAAATACTTGGGAATTCCAAGTTTGGCCAAATCCGAATTTCTGATTGGCTCGATGCGGAGGAAATTCCACTTTTGCTGTGTAAAACAAAGGATTTGTTTTACATAAAAGCAGGTGTATTTTCTCTCATCGGTCAGTCGAGTTTGCCTCTTCTACTGTAGACCTAGGCAATACTCTTGTTCATTTTCTGCTTTAAGTTGTTTCTTCCGTAAGTAAAGAAACACTTAGGAATATTTCTACATTTTATTCTCACATTTTGCATATTTCATTTTCTATTATATTTCTATCCTAAGTTGTTCTTCCGTGACTCAAGAAACACTTATATTTTTATACCATTTGATTTATTTGATTTACTAAGTTATTCCTTCCGTAAGTCAAGGAATACTTAGATTATATTTACCTATCTGTTTTCCATCTTTGCTCTGTTACTTTGTAACTGTTCCGTGGAACCGTTACCTATAACAGATATTTGTCACTGGAGCTGTTATTTATAACAGCAGTGGTATTTAACCCTTAGATCAGCGGCAAATCAGAGATGGTCAATACCCGTTCAAATTTCGGGAATAGGAAGAAGCCCGAAGAGCCGGCGATGGGTCCCACAGGCCCAAATGCCCCCTTTCGGCAACACTAGAATAAATATTAAAATTAAATTTGTAAATACAGCTTACTGTTTATATTATCAGACTTTATTTTACTTTTGTAAAAAGTATACAATTTGCGTTTAATTTAAAATTTCGTATTAAATATTGAGTATGGAAGGTCGTGACAATATAAATTTAAATTTAACAAGAGACGAAGTGGTTAGAATAATTTCCCTCATTGAAGACGGAAGGAATCAGATATATGTGGCAAATTTTGTGGGTGTAAATCAGTTGACAGTATCACGAGTGGTAGTAAGGTACCGAGAGACTGGTCTTTATGATAGACGAGCTGTAACAGGTCAGCCAAAAGCAACTACGCATGTGAACAATAGGTTTTTATTCCTTCAGGCTTTGCGTCGAAGACATGTAACTGCAAGTCAACTTCAACATGACTTAGCCAAAACTCGAAATGTACGTGTGTTTTCAGAAACTGTTAGGCACATCTTAAGACAGTCTGGAATTAAGGCCAGAGTAGCTGCCACTGTCCCGAGACTTACAAGGGAACACCGTACAGCACGTCTAACATTTGCAAGAGAGTACGTTAACTGGAATATCGACGACTGTGGTAACATACTCTTTACGGATGAGTCAAGATTTTGTTCATACACTTCGGATCGAAGAATACCAGTTTATAGACGAGATGGCGAGCGTTATTTTCAATGCAACCTAAGACCGGCGACAAACTTTGGAGAAGGATCTATTATGCTATGGGGCGCAACATCTCCTAGGGGTCAAAATGTGATAGGTACATTAGAGAAGTTTTGGAGATGGATGTTGTTCCTTACGTCCCATTTATTGGTAATGACTTTGTTTGAATGCATGACAATGCACGCTCACACGTCGCAAGAATCGTTACCGAGTACCTTCAAGAAGTAAATTTACAAGTTTTGAATTGGCCAGAGCACAGCCCGGACTTAAATCCAATAGAACATGTTTGGGACCATTTTTACAGAAGGGTGAGATCTGGTAATGTGACGCCAGCTAATCTTCAGGGCCTGCAACAGTTGTTAACCGTAGAATGGGATAATATCAATCAAGATTATCTAAGAAGATTAATTGGAAGTGTGTCACAACGTTGTCTAATCTTTGTTTCAAGTTAAGAAAATAACATTAAGCTTATGGAGATCAGTGTTGCCAAAATTCTTAGGCACTCTATTTTGCACGGATGTCCAAGATATTCCCTCTGCTTAATTTTTGAATTTTCATTTTCAATTAACATTTAAAGTTGTTACGATATTAATTGGGAAAGAAAAATTTTTGGGGTCCGGTCAGTAATTCTACGGCAAACATAGAAATAAAGATAATTCTTTGTAATTCTAATTATTGATTACTCCTGGTATTAGTCCACATGGATATTGGTGTGGCTTATTACTTTGAACGTATCTTATTGGGTAATACTGAAATGTAATTGGTCAAATTTTTCGGAAGTGAATACACTGAAACCAAATCTGGCTTTGCCGTTATCAGGTAAAAATTGCTTCTCATGTTTCAAAGGCAACAAGCATTATAATAAACACAATAACAGTGTCGCCGTTATAAACTTATTTTATTTTATTTTAAACTTATTATATAAATTATTTTATTTTTATAGTAAAATTGTAGTCTCATTTTTTAGTTCTCAAATTAATAAGCACATTACATTTCATTTGCATTATGTATGTATATACTTTTAATCATCAATTTTAAATTTCAATAAAAGTTAAGGAATTTTTAGGGTCCAGTCCCGAATAATTCAGAAATATAAACATTATTTGTAATTGATCAATAACAGTATTGTCCACATTGCAGCTGTGGTTTATTACTTTCTACGTATCTTATCGGGCACTACTGAAGTGTAATTAGTCATATTCTTCGGAAGTTATTACGCTCAAACTTGATCGTTATCTGGTCAAAAATGCCTTCTCAGGTTTCTCATACTAAACGATATATTCAGTATCGTCGTGTACGACAGCAAGTTCACGTATATTTTTAATATTTTTGTGTAAACAGTAGTGTTGTGTTTTAGTTAAGTTTGAGTTAAGACAGTAGAAAATAAGTTGTAAATACATTAAAGAATATCGAGATGACAATAGAGACATTGTGTATCTTGATGAAACGTGGTTTGACACCCATGATGTAGTTCAATATGGCTGGATGGATGATAGCAAAAAGTGCTGCTTGAATGCTCCTTGTTCGAGAGGAAAAAGAATTATAATTCTACATGCTGCAACTAAGAGCGGGTTTGTACCTAATGCCTTGTTATTATCGGCCAAAAACATTAAACAGTGTCATCAGCTGATTATCATGAGGATATGACGGCTGAACTTTTCGAAAAATGGGCAACAGAACAGCTGTTACCGAATATTAAAACAAATTCCGTGATAGTAATAGACAATGCGTCATACCATTCTAGACTATACACCAAAATTCCAAATACTAGCTCCAAGAAGGGAGATATCATAGAATTTATGGAGAACAAAGGCATGGCAACACCTAGTAAATGTACCAAAAAGGAATTGTTGCAATTAATTAAGCAACAAAATTTTCAAAAAGAATATGTAATAGATAAACTCTTTGAACGCCACGGGCATACGGTTTTACGGCTCCCTCCATATCATTGTGTTTTCAATCCAATTGAAATGATATGGGCCGATGTAAAAAAGAAATTGCGGAAAATGAATCAATCTCCCCAATTAAGTGACGTTGTTGTCCAAAATATAAGAACAGTGATCGAAGAACTTAACAAAACTGACATTTGGAAAAATTGTGTAGCGCATGTTCAAGTAAAAGAAAAAGAATATCCTACTTTACCACCAATTGAACCGGTAGTTATAAACACAAACGACGACTCAAGTTCTGGACACACGGATAGTGATAGTGTTTAATTGTTTGAATATTTCTACAAGGACTTCCACAACTTGTCAAAAATATGTTCTGTGTATCGAAGTAAATGTGATCTCTCGATTAATCTATAACCTAAGAGACAATTCGACTGTAAGACGAATTGGCCGATTTCATGTAAGTATCTTTCAAAAATAAGCTCTTTAAACCGATGAAACTTAGGTACAGATCATATTCATGATTATTTTTTACCAAAAAAGGGATCAACTTTGTTTTGAGCGTAACTTGCTTACGTTTGTTGCTAGAAACTTTTTTAAAAATCAAAAATAAAGATTTCTTTAAACAATTTAAAAAAAAAGTAAAAAAACATTTTTTTGATTATTTCACGTTGAATTATTCGATATGGAATTTGACGAATAGGTAAGAATCTATTTTTCATTAGCTATAACTCTGCTTCTGCTGGGTATACAGACTTCATACATATACCATTGTTTTCACTTTTTTATAAACTGTATTTTTGCTACGAACATTTTTTCCATAAAATACTTACCTTTTGAGTTATTTGCGAGAAATCGTCCAAAATCGTGGTGTTTTTGTTGAAAAATGAATATATTCACTCGTAAATAACTCGAAAAGTATTGATTTAGTAAAAACCTCTATAGAACAAAAGTTGCCTAGAATTAGTCAGTTTATCCACTTCCGGACTTATTTTGGATGTATATCTTTTCACCCCCGAGAAGGTGCGGTACTCACCCCCTGGGCAAAAATACACATCGGCACAATATCACTTTTCTTCTTTGACACGTTGGCTATATGTGTATGACAAATTTTATGTCAATCCCAGTGGTTCTTTAAAATTTAGAGGTTTTTACAATATTTTACCGTTAGTGAATGGACTATGTTCACTATGTAAACTTTTAATCATCTTTGGTGTCAAGTTCATAGAGAAATGTGAATAATATTAACAATATTATTACTGTTTAACAAAATATTAGACCTTAATTTAAAAATAAAAGTTTATTATTAAATTTCTATTGCGCCGCCTATGTTTTACAAAGACGCCGACACTTGAGTGTCGAATTTTGTTTTTATACTTGTCCAACTGACATCGTAGAAACTATAACTGTAAAGTCAGAATAACTACTTAAATAAAAGCCTTATTATCATCATGTAGTCAGAGAACGACATAAAATCGCCGACATACGCACATCGTATTATTTTAAGTTGCAATTAGTAATTAGATATACCACAGCCACCTTTACTTCCAAGCTGCTTCCAAGCCATGAAGTAAAAAAGGCAACACCGCATTCTATGACGTCGGTAGTCCGATAATCAGCTGTAAGGTCTACCAGAATATTAAACTAATTTGAATTTTAGGAAACTGATATTTTGAAAACTTCAATTCATTACAGAAATATTTTTAGGGAAATTAAATTAATAAAACCTTATATATACCTAGTAAATATATATAAAGTTTTATTATTATTTAGGTTATATTATCAATAAAATAATCACTAGAGTAAAATTTATTGCACTTAAAATACAGTGTCAAACAGTTAATCTTACAATCAAATGCAGTCAAGAATCTCTAGAAATTTTAAATATTAAGTACCTAAGCATATAAATAACACAATACATTAACATGACATTTAAAAAGATTATTAAAAATACAAAAGATATAAAATTTGTGCTAAGTAAAAACTTAGTGTAACTATTATGATTAAAAAATTCATCCTAAGAAATCAGACACAATATAAATATGGTTCTAAATTATTCTAATTGAAAATTAAATATTTTACTATTTACTTATAACTTTTGTTGAATTTTCATACTTAGGTATACGAAAGTAGCAATTTTAAATATGAATAGGTTTGTTGTCATATAGACCAAGTTAAAAGAGGTATACATGAACAATGTGTTGAATGTAACATACCATTTATAACTTCTATATCGATTTAAAATAGCCTATATTCTCAAAAGATTTTTGAATGTAATACTCAAATTTTTTATCACTTATCTAAAAAGCAGATCTAAATGAGAAAGTAAGTTCTCTAATTGTGACCATCTTGTTAATTAACTATATTGTAAAATCCATTTCAAATCATTACCACTTAATCTATTCTTACCTACATTGACGATTACACTAAAATTACTGCTATTACACTACATATTACACAAATATTATCACACTTGTGTCCCAACTGATTAATGTTTAATACATAGAAATATACACAGTCACTTGTAATTTTACTTGTCCAGTTTTTCAATGGGATATTATTGTCTAAGTCTAATTGACATAATTATGTTATCTCTTGTTCCTTCTTCTTATGCAAAAAGTTTCTTCTGTCTTCGGGATTCCTTCTTTCTTTAGTACGATGAACAGTTACATATGATGGTACTTCAGGAAATATATTAGGAACTGCATTGCCTTTTAATTTGGGAAATATTAAGTTTTCAATGTGTACATTTCCATCTTTATCTTCTCATTGTTCAGTCCGCTGAATATCATCTTCATGAAAATGTTTGGCACATACTACGGAAGATTTGGTAATTGTACAGCCTTCTCTATGAATAGAGCATAACCCAGTATACCTTCTTTGGGGATTTTTGGGAAACAAAAACATACTTTCTGCCTGTTTCGTTTTTAAAGTACTGGCATAATTGGTTTTGCAACCAGGTACATAACAATGCCAGAGCATCTGTAACAAAAAACAAAAGTATTATTATTGTTGTTTTTAGTTTACATATTTTGTAACAAGATTATTTTGAACATTATTTTGTATTATTATTTTCAGTTTGTTTTGTAGGTTATATTTATACTTGCCTTTTAAATTGTCTATAAAAATCTTCTAAAAGTTCTAAATTTAATGAAATTTTACTTATATTAATATTTTCTAATTGATTTAAACACAATTTACAAATAAAACATTCGAATAAAGTTAAAAAAAACAATAAATTCAACAAACTTTACAAGCCTTCCTATATGAAATGTTAAACCAAAACAAACCACAGTCGGACTACCACGAGTACCACGCGTTGTTGCCAAATTTCTACTTCATGGCTTGGAAGTAAAGGTGGCTGTGGATATACGCATTCCAAGTGGTCCGTTTATTTGCTTTTAAAACTTTAATAGGCGGCAAAATGCATGATTAGCTAAGCGATATTTTCTACTGATTTCTATGATTCATGGCATATGGTATTCTCATCGAAAAACAAATAAACTGTCGTTACTATAATTAAAATAAGATAAAATAAAATTATCATTTGTAAATACTATTTATCTAATTAAAATCATTTTCCCTTCTTTTCATCTCTTGTTTCCAATGGGCACTTTTGGTCAATTACGTTAAAAAACATTAATTTAATTCATGTCTGTGGAAACGAAAATACAAATTATACAACCCTAAATTGTGCTTGTCTGTGTCGTGGCAACGCCGCGTTTCTATCGTCCATAAGAAATACATGGCCCTATCTCCGCAATATTTTCTTAACGTGGAACGTAATATAGGTGTTATAAAAGCTAGAGGAGGCAATACGTCTTACTAAATTATCATTACTTTTAATTTTTATTTTTTTTTATTCAATGCTGTTTGTGCGCTTAGTTCTAATTTATGAAATAAATTAAATAAAACCTTTGTTTTTCGTACAATCTGCATTTTTCTTTTAATATCTACTTATTACGTACTTAAAAAAAACAAAAAAAAACAACAGTAAAGAAAATGTTATAAATTACTTTTAATACAAAATTTGCAGTTTCATAGGTGATACTTTTTTGGCGGAGTGTATTTATATATATATTTAATATTTAATTATTTATTTGAAGAATCAACAATCAATCATTTATTTTAAAAAAAATATAATATATATATATATATATATATATATATATATATATATATATATATATATATATATATATATATATATAATATATATATATATATATATATATATATATATATATATATATATATATATATATATATATATATATATATATATGAACTAGAAGTATTTGCTGACAACAAGGAAGTAAATTTTCAATATTGGGTTTGCAGCAATTGCTGCAAACCCAATATTGAAAATTTACTTATATATATATATATATATATATATATATATATATATATATATATATATATATATACCTATACTTATAATATAATAAATATAATAAAATTGTCAGTTGAAACTGTATAACTGAAATCTTAAGATTTCTAATATACTCGTTATACTTAATATTCTTCTAGAACCGGAATAAACAGGCTACAAAAATTCAATGATCAAATAAATAATAGACATAGGTATATGTTACACTCTTTCCGGTTACCAATACTCTGCTTACAACTCACCTAATTTGTTCCTTGCAACACAAATCTACAGTATTTAAACAAGCCTTTTCATTTCTTAATCGAGATCCTGCCCACTCTGGTCTGAAGTTTTTGCAGTCATTTCCAAAAGTAGCAAAATTTGTACCCAGGTCACAACACTTCTTTCTGTCGTTTATGGTAATACCTAAAAAGAAAATTGCCTTTAGATCATTTCTCGATTTTAGATTTCGATATTTATAGAATATATTAAAATGACGTTTCAGAAAGAAAATAGGCACAATCATTAAACAGTGTTTTAAATTATTTTGAGAATATTACAGACTTAAGATTTTGCCAAAATATATATTTTTATATTAATAATATAGCGCAAGCCTCTGTACCATAGTCTTTTGCAATATACAGGGTGGTTGATTAGTGTGAAGAAGCTCAGTAGATCTGTTATAGTAAAAATTACGAAAAAAAGTTATTAACAAAAATTGTAGGCAGCTTTAAACTCCACATTTTAAAATTAGTTACAATCTTACAGGGTGTTCCATAAGATGGTGGCAGACCAAACTTATGTTTTTTTTAATGGAACACCCTATATTTTATTTTAAATTTAAAATCGGCCTCACTTCCACATCACAACAATGTAAAGTTGTATTATGTTATACCGGGTATCTAAAAAGTTATAACCAATATTACCTGAAAATCGTATCAAGTTTAACTCCCTGTGCAATTAAAAAGGAGTATAGGTCCATTGATCTATTGCAACCATAGTTTTTAAATAATTGTTAAAAATTATAAAACATATTCGTTTCCATAATATTCGTTAAATCAAATAAAGGGTAAGTCAAAATGCAAATATATTATAAATTTCTTGGTAATTTTAAATAGAACCCCCTGTATTTTATATCACTATCAAAAAGTAATAATATCGTACTTCAAATTTTATAAAGTACTCCCTATACCTAAAGTTATCAGTTTTTTAGATATTATTGTTTTTCCATCAAAGTATTAATTTGGTAGATATTTTAACGTTTACCAACTCACAATATAATTATTGTGAGTTGGTTATGATTGATTTGTCAAAAACTGACAGTTTGACATTATTGTTTAATAATTTAGTAACGAAATAACGACACAGGAAAGAAAACAATTTATTTAAAATAAAATTTATAAAAAATAACCGACGGAAAATAAAAAAAAATATATAACAACACATAGAAAAATTAAAAACAACAGTAAGTTTAACTTATCTTACTCCCTACTAAGTAAGGTGTTCAAAATGACCTCCCAAAACATCTATGCATGCTTGAAAACGGTCATTGAAAGAGTTGGTTACATTACTAAGCATTTGTAAAGAAATATTTTGAAATGCAATTCGGATTCTATTTTTCATATCATCCCTTGTTGTTGGGGGTATTTTATATACTTTGTTCTTAACGTAACCCCAAAAAATGAGTCCATTTTATTAAATTCTGGTGACCTTGGGGGCCACCTTACCGTCCATCCCTTCCGATCCATCTTTCCCCAAACTGATTATTAAGTTCACCACGTACTAATTCGTTGTGGTGCGCAGGAGCACCGTCATGTAGAAACCACATTTTTTCAGGTATATTAAGTGGAACCTCTTCTAATAATATCGGTAACTGATTTACGATAAAATCTAAATAAATCTCACCATTTAAATTATCTTCAAAAAAATATGGTCCTACTACATGGTTACCGACGATACCTCCCCACACATTTAGAGACCATCTTGTTTGACTATGTGTTACTATGTGGTATGGATTACTTGTTGAGTAGTAGTGAAAGTTATGCCTATTAAAATAACCGTTTCGATGGAATGTAGCTTCATCACCAAATAGGACATAATCAAAAAAATCTCTGCTCATTAATTTTTTCTAAGGCCCATTCACAAAATACTATTCGTTTCTGAAAATCATCATTAATTAATTCTTGGTGCTTTTGAATATGATAAGGGTGCATCTTGTTTTTAGATAGAATGTTTTGAAGAGAGTAGTAACTAAGTTCTTGTTCATTGGAAATAGTCCTTATGCTTGTGTGTGTGTATAGTTTTTAACAATTATTAAAAAACTATGGTTGCAATAGATCAATGTTCCTACAATCCTTTTTAATTATACAGGGAGTTAAACTTGATACGATTTTCAGGTAATATTGGTTATAGCTTTTTAAATACCCGGTATAACATAATAAAACTTTACATTGTTGTAATGTGGAAGTGAAGCAGATTTCAAATTTAAAATAAAATACAGGGTGTTTCATTTAAAAAAACATAAGTTTGGTCTGCCACCATCTTATGGAACACCCTGTAGGATTGTAACTAATTTTAAAATACGGAGTTTAAAGCTGCCTACAATTTTTGTTGATAACTTTTTTTTGTAATTTTTACTATAACAGATCTACTGAGCTTCCTCACACTAATCAATCACCCTGTATTATTCTTATATTGTCTTTTTTATATATACCTTTACCACAAACAAGGTTCGACAGTTCGTTGTATCTCTCATAAATCTTTCAAATTGTTTTAAATCTACACTTGCAGACCAGTCTTTCTACTTACCCAATACCTGAAGTGGTTACATGATCCGATACCTGCATAATACAGTATTAAACGATTTTAATTAGCCGGCCGTAAAATATTTATTACTTTTAAAAATAGGAAACTGTAAGCCATAAACCGCACACATGTATTTTTTTCGTTCTATTTGTACTGAAAGGTTTTAACAGTCGAATATAAAAAAGGCTTTATTGCTTTGAATTTACAAATTAGTAGGCAATAAAAAAGATCCTAAAAGGAACGTTGAAAAGGTTCGTTACATACCATTACTACAATTCCCTATAAAACGCTGGTTCTTTGCCGGTATAAAGTCATTCGCTAATCCCCAGTTGAGATGACAATATTACGCGTTCTCTACGTATAACCCTTACGTCTCAGTTATGACAATATTTCGATACACTCTCCAGTCAGAATTTTGTGAATAAATACCCTCACAAGTCCCAGTTGGGACAGTCCATTGCACTACGTAAATTTATTTCGCTTTCACCCCGCATTATCATAAGGCAAAGTGGTTAAATTTAAACTTATTTTCTTCATTTTTTTTAATCAATGTAACTCAAATTGAGCCATCTAAAGAACGCATTACCAAATGCTGGAAATGCTTTCATATGGTTATAAATATATTTACTTATTTTGTCGTCAGAGATACAAATGCTACTGTACCTCTAAAAATCATACGAACAAGCTGAATTTTTCTGAGAATGTTAATTTTGGAACCCCAAAAATATGCAAAAAGTTTACTTTTCTTACCCTACGGCTTCCTCTGAAAACCACGTCCTATCGTAGGGGAAAAACAAAAAAAATCGATTTACCACGAATCTTTGTATCGTAGAAAAAATATTTCAAATAAAAAATGTAGCTGAGACAAATTTGAATGAAAAGGTTTATTAGCACTTTTGTTTGTGTAAAATAAACCGTTCTCTCAAAAATATCAATTAAAAAAAAATTAATAAAATTTGTATCAATTCGACGGTAAAAATTAGATATCTTTTGATCAGATTATTCAATCAACAAAAATCAAAGCGCGTTTTAAATTTCAGAATTAAAGCTTTCTTATACAATTTTTGACTTTTACCGCAATATAAGTGAGTTTTTTAATATTGTTCTGAAGCTATTTTCTTGTGGCATTTTAAATTAATTATCATTTAACTGGGAATAAGCCACAATTAAAGGTAAAAATACGTTCATTGACGTTTCAATTTCCACTTCGGAAATCGTTCTCAAAATACAAACAGTAAATTAAACAAATTTTGTTTTTTGTTACTTAGTGAAAAATTCTTCTAATAATTTAATTTTATCTGACTCATTTATATTCACAATTCAGACATAGGTACATTATGCATTTTAAAGTAGACGACTTTAAAATGATATTGCCAATATTGTTGAGCTGCGCTCCTGGGACGACTTTACTTATAAGATAGTTCATTCGATTACATGAAATCAACTTTAACTTGGGAATATCCGTCAGAAAAAAAAATCATAGCATGTAATTCGTCTTTAAAAAGACAAACACATGACATGATGACAGTAAAATTCTTCTGTTAGTGATTCCATAGTAAATTATGAGGGAAAAAACTAGGAAAAAAAACCTCATAATACTATCCCGACATGGTAAGTATTTGGTCGTGCATTTAGTTTACCTTCAATAAACACCAAACTCTGATTTTATATGTTTCGTTATTTAAACAACATAAATGATGTATCCTCTATATGTTACTGACTTGCTAATACTGCTATTTTCTTATTGAGTGAGTTTTAAGTGAGTTTCTATAAAACTCGTTGAAAACTTTAACGTTAAAACTAAAAAATAAACGTTGAGTGATTTTTGCCATTTTTTACGATTTTCATGAGATCATTAAAAGGTATCACTTTTCCATTAACCGTTTCATTTGATTCCGAGGCATTTGAAATACATCTAAAAAACGCTGAATAAAACACTGAATTATTACTTAAACGTTTCGGCTATTTGCCATTTTCAATAAGCTCTTTTTTTAATTACACAAGTACGTATTAATAATATATTTTTCCCTCACAAAGAACAATACAAACACTTTTAAAAATAATAGATTACAAAGATTTATGATAGACTATATTCTGTCGAATAGAGAGTTACAGCCGTCTCAAGTCTTGGACGTAAGAGCACTAACATCAACAGAAATAGGAAGCGATCATATATTGATATTGTGCAAAATCCGATTTAAAGCACATATTTGTGATAACAAAACACCAGAATACACCACAAAGATAAAAGTCGAAATCTTACAGGATAACTCCACAAGATACCTTTTCCAAAAAAGAATAACAAAAAAAGCAGAAACACATAGAAAGTAATGGATCCAAAGAAAGCTGGGCAAAAATTAAGTCTAATATCTTAGCCTCGGCCAAGGAAGTTCTGAGTGAAAGAAATATAAATAAAAATAAATCTTTCCCAAGACGAAGAACACCATGGTTTTTTACAGAAGTGGAGGAAAAATGGAAAGAAAAGAAAAAAGCTTACCTCAAATAAATGTCAACCAAAACACAAGAGGCATACTATAATTAGAAACGGGAACGCTTTTCAAAATAAATGGAACATGATTTTTATGATCTGCAAAAGAAAATATGGCGCTTCATAAGAGGTG